ACTTTCTCTCAATCACCCCACTGTCCCATGGACACTATTCCCTGTTCCACACACTCCCAGTTTATTCCAATGCTTCACATGCCTGCAGCCAGCACGCCCAGCATGGCCCAGAGGCCCCAGCATGGCCCAGCACCCCCAGTTCAGCCCTGCACCCAGACAGCACATGGTGGCCCTGGCCCTGGATCCCTCCACAAGGGCTGCTGGATCCTGGACCACCCAATGCTGCTATTTGGCCACTTTGGGTCATTTTTGGGCTTTCAGATGGTTCAGTGAACTCCAGAACTTTCCTGAGAGCTGGTAACAAAGAGCACTGAGGGCTCATCATCTCCCCTATATCCAGACCCACCCAGGTTATCATCGTCATGGAAAAGTGGAACTGCCCAGGGCAGTGGTGGAATCACAACCCCTGGAAGTCCTCAAAAAACATGTGGATGTGGCACTTTGGGATCTGGTTTAGTGGTGGGCTTGACAGTGCTAGTTTAACCTAACACCTTGTAGTGTGTGTGTGAATAGGGATTTTTCAAAGTGCACTCAGTCTGCCATGACTCTTCTCATGACTCTTTCCCTCTTTTTTTTTCTACATCAGCAATTTTCTAGCAGCAACAGGGAAGAAAAGAAGAGCTCTATAAAACAGTATTAAATAAGGAGGCTCATTGGTAATTAGAGTGGGAATGGAAATAAAGGAACACTGGGTAAAACCTGCTGCAATGCCTCTTTGGGACATTTCAAACAGTTTTTTGAAATAACATTTCTGCCTTTCTGAAGCTAATTACACATGTGCTGCATACTGAGCAGAAGGGTAAATTAATTGTGAGAACAAAGGGAATTTGTTGTGGGTTGAAATGAGGCCATGGATGCTTTTTCCCTAATGGGAGAGGAACTGATGACCTCTCCTGGGTTTGCCATGCACAAAAGATGGAATGCAGGAGCTGAATGTGGCCTGGGTGCCACTGAGGGTGGATTTGCAGGTGGAGAATCCCTCTGTCCTCCCTTCCAGTCCCTCTCCATTCTTCCACCATCTGGCAGTAGATTGCTTCCACCAGAGCTGCCAAATCCAGCATGCCAATATTGCAGATGAAGATTGCAGAGGGCTTTTCCAACCCTAATGATTCTGTGACACCAGGGTGCCTGCAGGGGGGCAGCTGTGGAAGTCACACCTGTGGGCTCCCCATGCTCATGGAAAGGCTGCCTTGGGCTTGTGGCTCATGTTCACAGCTCTGATACACCCTGCCTCATGGTTCCTGTGCTTTCACTCCTGCCTCTGCATTAGGAAGGGTGACATTACTCCCCTGGCAGCAGTCTTGGTGCCTTCATATTTTTTTTGTGTGTTTAAGCAAGATCAGAAGTTATCAGCAATTATATTTGAGGATGCCCTGGGGTTTTATGCAAATTCTTCTGTATTTCATTGCATTACTTAGATGCTTGGACACTCTGAGCTATCCTCACTCTGGGTTGTGCTCTGCAGTCCCCCCAGGGACACAGGACAGAGGTGGGTGGCTGAAGATGAGCAGCCCCAGCAGGGTATAATCTGCAGGGCCATTCTGCACAAGGCCAGTGATAACAATTGAGCAAGAGAAGGCAATGCTGAGGGGAGAGAGTTGTCCTGGGGTGATTAAAGACCAGTCGTGTTATCACAGCAGAGCACTCCTTGTACACCAGCACTGGGCTGTCATCTTAAAATTTCACTGTGCCTCCTTCAAAATATAATTTCACTTTCTCAAATAATAAATTATAGGCCTATCTGTCATTCCCAGCTCTTGGACATTTAATTGTAGTTAGCCTTGTCGTTTAAAGCAATGACTGCAAGTTCTTCAAGCTGTGATAGGAGTAAAGAGTAGAGTAAGAGTAAAGCCAGAGTAAAGCCAGGATTTAGACTCCACTTTCCAGACTTTCAAAATGTAATATGCCTCAAATATTTCAGAGTTAGAGCAGATATATGTCCCCTCCTTATCCACAGCATTCTCCTTGAGGGGAAGGCAATTCCTGTGGATAATACAGGCCCGTGGGGAAAGTTATCCCTGATCTCACAGTGATGCCATTCAATTGGATTTACAATCAGGGCTGTTGAAAATTAGAATCCCACTTTTACAATTAGCTAACAGGTCTGTTGCTTGCTTCTGCTGTTTAAAATGAGAAATTCTGGTAGCCGGCTTTTGGAACAGATTTTGGATTAAAAAGGACCTACAATATTTTTTTTTTTTTTTAAATCCCCTTCGGTGATTTTCTGACAAAGATTCATGACCAGCCCAAAGGTTGACATTCTGCAGTGGAGCTGTGGATCATCACGAGAAGCAGCAGCAAGAGAGGAAGGCAGATTTTTCACCTCATCTCCATGAGGGAATCCCATGAGGTTTCCCCATGTTCCCAGAGGAGATGTCTTCTCTACTGGCCCTGTGGCAGGGGAACAGCAACAATCATCATGTCCAGCTCTTTGCACTCCTGAGGTCAGGATCCCCTTGTCTCACCACCCCATGGGTAGCTGGAGCACTGGAATGAGGAATTTGGCTGAAAGGTCCATGCAAAGCCAGGTCATTTTCCATGTCACGTTGTGTTGAGGAGCAGAACTTCTCCCACCAGGCTTGTTCCCACAGCAATCCCCAGCACAGCCCTGATCCTGAGTGAGCAATGAGCTCCTTCTAGCAAACCACTGTCACATTTTGGCTGCTCTGGCATTTGAGTAACTCTCTGAAAAATAATTCAAATTCCATAATGATTTCAGTGATGATGAATCCTCCTGTGCAGACATCACTCTGTGTGCACACAAACCTTAACCCTGCAGTCACAGAGAAGCAATGCCCAGGTTACACAGAATAGGAAGGAATCCTCATGGTCTGTGCCTTATCCCTGTGTTTATCTGGGTCACAGCTTGGTTGAGTAACCCCTGATTAAAAGCACTCTCACTGAGGAGAGCTTGGAGCACTGCCATGAACACGACACATAAG